TTTAGGGTTTAGGGGTTTACGGCTCGGCATCCCCGCCCATCTCGTGGCAAAGCACGGTGAGGAGGAGCAGGAACTCATTCCCGGTGACGCGGATGACCCGAACCTCGAAGTGAGCCGAAGTCGGCGGGGTTACTAGGGCTTTAAGGGATTTCAAAAAACTAAGGGTTTAGGGTTTGAGGATTTCTATAGGGTTTAGGGTTTTTCTGTTGTTTATAGGATTGATGCAGGGTTTAGGGTTTTATAATCATAAGGCTTTATATACAGGGTTTAGGTTTGGGGCTCATAAGGCATACATGGTTTGGGGTTTTAGGGTTTAGAGTGGGTGGGCTTCACGGGACACGGGCTTGAGGGTTTCTAGGGCTGACGATGCTGAGGGTTTAGGATGCACAAGGTTCATCAGCTTCGGGGCTTCGGCAGTATAATTGGTTTCAAACGGGTAGTTCTCCCTTCAGGGTCCTTCTTGTAAGGGTGCAGTGCTAGTTTGGGATCTAAAAAGGGACCCTGATCTAGAGAACTACTTCAAAGGATGATGAGGACGATGATGGTGTTGGCGACTAGCCAAGCCGAGCACTAACCCTACACCCTATTTAATCCCAACCTGGCTCTATCTATCGTACTTCCTTAATGGTAGATTCCGAAAGTAGGGGACCCTAATACAGTACCCTAAATAGTAGGATCCCTATTATAAGGACCCCAAAATAAGGTACCCCCTAGTTTTCGGAAACCCCCTAATACTTAAAGAAATGAGTGTGAGTTCGCAAGTCGTCCCCTTTAGAACGAGGCATGTGAAACGGGTTTGTGTATTACTCCCCAAAATACACCCAAATACATACTTCCCTATATGCCATTCTACACGAGCCAAGAGCTAATGTAAAGCCCACCTCAAATACGCTCAGCATTGCTATCGCAAAAGGACTCAAGTCGTGTGGGAACCCCCGACATCTGACCAAGACCTTTTTGGGTGGAGTTTGCCAGACATTGACCGTTGACAACCCCTAAACCCTAAACCGTTGAGGCATCGGGGTTATGAGATTTAAGTTTGCCGGCCGGAGAAATTCAAAGGGGGCGAAGACTTTTAGTTTATCTTTAGGGGCTTAAGGTTTAGCGGTTCAGGGTTTGTGGTTTATAGCTTTTAGTCTTACGGCTTTTGGGTTTGGGAGGTCGGTACTCCAGGAGATGAAGAGCGATAGGTTTAGGCTTAGGGCTTTTAGGAGTTGTGGATTGCGTTCCTCCACATGACAAGATGAACAGCAAACGATAGCAGTGCCGGACGCCATTTTGCGAAGTCGCGAACCGATCTGCCTGAGTTCTCCTGCCCCCGGGGACGATCAGCCCATCCCGGGTATGGCAGACGAAAGTCAGACTTGAGCCTACCTTCAATTCTGCACAAAAGGATCCCTAATATGACCTGAGGGAAATTCCTTACTTTAAAGGGGGCTCGGGATCCTCTAAGAACCGATATTCATCGGTCATGCCGGTTTCGTCTATGCAGCAAGACCCTCATAGCCGTTCAAGAGCGGCTCTGGTTTGCGCTGCAGGACCCTCACCAGTGCCACGACTACAGCAGCACTCCCTAGCACTGCACTCACTGCCAGCATCGGCATGAGCCTGGTCGCGGGTGAGGCTGCGAGAACCACGCTAGGCGCAGCGTTGGCAAACCTGGCGGTATCAAAATCCTGGAAGTACCCGACGATCAATCCTGGAAGGCTCAGGGTCTTGGGTTCACAGCGTAGATGGATTAGAGGGTTTATCGGGATGATAGGGCTTATCGGGCTTATGGCTCATAGGATTTATAGGGTTTAGGGCCAGTTTAGGGGTCTCTTCCTTCATCGTCGAACTCGTACTTGAGCATGCTGGTGCTGGAGACCACCTCGCCTGTTGAATCGAGGGTGTACTTGAAAGGGCACCAAGCGATGACCGTCTTCCCGCCACTTCCTTCGGCCACAGCCCAATCACACTTCCAGCCTTTCTGAGTGCTGATGCCTGTGAAGGACCTCATCTCGCCAGTCTCCAAGAAACAACAGATTCAACTTGCAGAACAAGACTAACATCTGAGAACAAGAAGTAACAAGCTATAGTAGTTTGGGGTGTATAGAGACAGTCCAACCACCCCTGTCAAGGAAAAAACTAAAGCAATGCTTTTGCAGAACGAGAGGGCTTCCCAAACATCTCGCCACACTCCGTCTGGCTCTTACCACTTGCCGTGAAGCCGATTGGGCTGCTCGGAGTAAATGCGCAATTGATCCTAGGTTCCCTAAGCCCTAGAAACCCTAAACCTCTACCCTAAAACCTAAACCGCAGCGAGGCTCCCAAAGCAGCTAGGCTCCCAAAGCCCTAGAAACCCTAAACCTCTACCCTAAAACCTAAACCGCGGCTAGGCTCCCTAAGCCCTAAACCTACGTCAGGAAGTTGAGGACTTATAGCACGTACGGTTGAGGGTGGAGCATCTCCGGGAGCTGATGAGTTCAAGCTACCAGGGGGGTTTAGGGTTTAGGGTTTAGGGTTCAGGGTTTAGGGTTTAGGGTTTAGGGCTAGGGGTTAGGGTTCATGCAGTGTTAGGGAGCTTCAACCTACCGTATCACAGCGAAGAAAGCAGATAGCCTGTTATGTAGTTACATCACTAAAACCACTTCCTAAGTAACCCTCAAATCTCAACTTCCCAGACCGTCCTGTTAAGAAACCCAGGATCTTTGGGGCATACAAGGCAGCCTCCTCGTCCATCAGCTTTTGTGCCTCTTCGGGTGTTGCGGTGTTCCATTGCTTGCCCTCGCCTCGACGACCAATGGGAAGGATTTAGGGTGAAGGGTTTCGTGGGCCAGGGTCTACCAGGCTTCGATTCTTTTAGGGAGGCTTAGTGTAGGGTCTAGGATTTTCGATTATTTTAGGGTGGCTTGGTGTAGGGTTTAGGATCGTCCAAGCCCTCCAGAGTAGAACGTCATGTTTGGTTTTGCAACCCCGCACCAGAGCCCTCGAGATGAACCTTATAGTGCCCATAACTCAGTGACCCTAAACCCTAAACCCTAAACCCTAAACCCTAAACCAGACAAGGGTTTAGGGCTTGGGGCTCAGGGTTCTACGGGAACTGGGCTCTTCGGGATTGGCTGGATTTCTCCCCTAAACCCCAAAACCCTGAACTTAAGATCCAAGCAACCGAGTGCCAGATCCCTTTGGGCTGCCGCGAGGTTCTTCTGGCCCACCGCATCGGAACTGACCACACCAACCACCGAAAGAGCTAGGAAAACGCAGCGCAGCATGGGAACGGGCCGTGAGAGGTATCCCCAAAGCAATGAAACCTAATCCACAAAAGATCGTGTGGCGCCTTCGAGCCAAAGAAACGGTGTCCTGAAGCATGCTCTTTCCAACACTCGCTTTCTGCCCTCCCAGACTAGAGCTTCATAGAGTGGAGGCACCGTAATTAGACAAAATACTCATATCAGAGCCCTGAAGTGGTCATCATTCAACAAGATACTTGGAACTGCAACGGCAACCCCACACTGCGCACACTGGGTACACTTTCACTAGCAAGCAGCGGCCGGCCCCCAAAGCATACTCCGTGGCCAAGAAACAAACAAGCCGTAAATCTTCCTAACCCTAAACCCTAAACCCTAAACCCTAAACCCTAAACCCTAAACCCTAAACCCTAAACCCTAAACCCTAAACCCCAAAACCCAAAACCCCCAAGGCCCAAGACTCCCCCGACCCTGCTATACCAGAGCCCTTCTGGAGGCCGTCAAAGAGCCCTTTCATGTACCCTTGGACCCGACATCCAACTCTAAAGCCCTAAGCCCTATGCAGCCGTAGACCCGACATCCTTCAAGAGCCCAAGGACCGATGCTCTCCAGATTTCCGCCCCTTGGGCCGAACTCAAAGCTCAGAAGTTCCGGCTGAGGGTTTGGGATTTAGGACTTATAGGGTTTAGAGTTTAGGGTTTGTAGGGCTTAGGATTTAGGGTTTAGGGTTTAGGGTTTGTAGGGCTTTGGATTTAGGGTTTAGGATTTATAGGGTTGAGGGCTAAGGGTTTAGGGTTTGTAGGGTTTGGGATTGATGGTTTAGGGCTTAGGAGTTATAAGGTTGAGGGTTAAGGGTTTAGGGTTTGTAGTGTTTAGGGTTGAGGGTTTAGGGTTTAGGATTTATAGGGTTGAGGCTTAAGGGTTTAGGGTTGAGGGTTAAGGCTTTAGGGTTTGTAGTGTTTAGGGTTGAGGGTTAAGGGTTCAGGGTTTGCAGTGTTTGGGGTTTAGGAGTTCCGCGGCTTGGCGCCCGAGCCCACAAGGGGAGGCTCTTGTCGTTGACAGCATCGATGAGCTGGTACACGAAGAAGATCACCAAGAACCTCGGGCTTGGTCTCAACCTGGACCCTAAGTTAGAGGAAACTAGAGGTGGGGAGTTTAGGGTATATAGGGCTTCTAGAAGGCTTCCATAAGGTATATCGACCTTCTATGAGGCTCCTATAACGGTAACTACCCACCTGAAAATGTCCTAGACCAAGTAGCATACCTTCTGGTTTAAGGAATTTTTGGGTTTAGCGTTTAGGGTTGAGGGTTTTTGGGGTTTAGGGTTTAGGGTTTTCGGGCTGGTGTTCTTATGGTACGTCCACAAGGTCCCTTTTGAGAGAGCCAGAAGTAGGGTTAAGAAGAGGTCCTCCCCTAAACCCTAAACCCTAATACTGCCTAGGATTTCAGGGTTAAGAGCTTCAGGTTCTAGGGCCTGGGAATTGCTTAACCTTGAGGTTTACAAAAGAGGATCCGAAGTCCTGCCGTTTTGAGGGTTTTACGCTCTGACGTAGGGATAACCTACTATTCCGTAGGCTTTCGGACTACTTGTAGGGCTTCTGGGGCGTAGGGCTTAGGGTTTAGGTGTTCAGCGCTAGGAGGTTCAGGGTTTAGCGCGACTTGCTCTAAATAACAGCTCGCGCCCTCACTGGCCAATCCCTGCAACACGTCAAGATACTTGGAACCTGCCACTGAACTGCCGCATCCGCTGTTGGTAAGGACCGCCCCGGAAACGATCCCTAAACCCTAAACTCTTGAGTTCTCTGGCCTAAGGGCGGAGACGAATTTAATGATCGTAATATTGTATTGGTCCTGACATTAACGTTTACCTTCTCAGCCACTTGGCCTTGACTCAAGGCACACCACCGCTCCGATAAAGGGTGTGACATAAAGTCCGGGGTTCGTGTGCTATGAATTATTCCGATCCCTATATTTCGGTTCTTTTGCGTTGGGCTTTCAATTGCAGCTCCCATCTTTTTCTCCGCATTGCATTCGCGGATCGTCTTCGGTCCGTTAGGAAACCCATGCCGCCCGGGCACGTTCACTCTGCAGAACGAGCCGAATTCCTGGGTTTGGGATATCAGCGCCAAAAAGCCACCCGGAGTGCCAGATGGATCAAGGTGTGATGCGGGCCGTCAGAATGACGAAAGGGGTTTCGGTGTATATTCTACGATAAGTATGATAAGGTTCGGGTTCCGGCTTGTATGTGCTGACCCAAACCCATTGTTCGTTGCGAAGCCACACAGAAAGCGGCGGTGAAAGACAAGCAGTGCATCGAGACCTCTGACAAAACGGTTCAACCGCGAACATAAGAGCCTCCAAGCTAGAACGGGGTTCTGGTCTCGATATTATGGCATGACTAGTAACTATTCGTAAATACGGGCAAAAGGGAGTCATCTTGCTAACAGAGTCGTATAATACGTCTTAGTGCCGAGAATGCAGCATTTCGTCCGTCCGCAATACTGCTACTGCCCACTTATGAAAAGCATCGTTTCTTGGACAGGACAGAGGCCTCCAGACATGCGCCCTTCAAGCAAGGGCGAGGTGCAAGATCTGAAGAATTACTCGGAGCCTTGATACTTGTTGATTCCGGGCTTAGACACCACTCGTAAACAAGATCTCTGAAACTCAGGGAGGCACTCATATGGGCGGTTGTCAAAATTATGGTCCTTTCTTGGGTCCTTATTATAATACGGCACCTATTATTTAGGGTACCCCACAAGGGACCATAATTGTGACATTTACCCAGATGTATTCACTCTGAAGTGTCCGCATGGCCGACCTCGATAACTCTCAGGATTCAGGGTTTGGGGATCTAAATGCAAAGATATCTGGGTAGTTGTCAAAATTATGGTCCCTTTTGGGGTACCCTAAATAATAGGTGCCGTATTATAATAAGGACGTAAAAAGGGACACTAATTTAGAGAACTACCCATCTGGGAGTCTGGGAGTCTCCTGTAAATGAGGACCTCTTAGCGTTAACTTTGTAACGGCACGTGCAAAACCCTTCTGGCTGCAGGGTCGAATGGGCTACCAAGAAAAGCGCACATAAGGAGGGATTCACGCCATTCTTGGGGGGAAGCGGAAACCCATGCCCAAATCTCAACAAAACAAGTATATGATTCTGCACACCGAGCCTATCCCTTACTGTAAGCCTGCTTAACACAGGGATGGTTCCAGAAGTAATGATGTCGGAGAGAGGCCAGTGGGAATGCACTTCCCTATAAAAACTCAGTTCCCTCCATAGTGGGGTGCTGTACTGCTTCACAGCTCTAGGGCCCTAGGGAAACCTTGAAGCACCCTTGACTCCCTAAGCCCCTAACTTCCTAAACCCTCTCACCCACTACATAGGCAAATGCGGAAAATGCGCTCAGCTTCCTTTGTTGGAATGAAACAGATAGAAGCCTTCGGGATTAGAGCAACAACGAGTCATGCTATTGCAATCAGCCCTAGCCCATTGGCTCCTTGACGAAATGCACGTCTCAGGACGACACCGGTTTAGGGTTTGGGGTTTAGGGCTTAGGGTTTACGGTTAAAAACAACATCTTAGGACGACGCCCTCTTCCATTTCCAGCAGTAGCGCCAGGTACAGCAAGAGAACAGAACCGATGCAGCCGTCCACACCAAGACCATCTCGATGCTGTGTTGGCTGGACCCAATGGCGCAGAGAGACCCGAGCATGAATGTAAACCTTCGCTGTCCCGCCGGCCCTCTCAACGAAAAACTACTGCTGCTGCTGCTGCTGCTACTACTACTACTACTACTACCACCAACACCACTACTACCACAACTACTACGACTGCTACGACGACTAACAGTATGACCACCACCACCAGCGCCACCAGCGCCACCAGCGCCACCAGCGCCACCACCACCACCACCACCACCACCACCACCACCACCGCCACCGCCACCGCCACCGCCACCGCCACCGCCACCGCCACCATCACCACCACCACCACGACTATCGCGGCAACGACTACGGCTACGCCGACGACTCGGACTGTGACATACTACAACTGCGATTACGGCGACTACTACGACGACTTATACGTGTGGTCGCGAGTCTTACTATCACGTATTGCAAAATTCGTTATTCCAAACTCGGTACTGTTCTTAGTCTACTTAACATCGCCTGGTAGTATCGTCTCGTCGTTGTGTTTACTGCCGCTCTTCTCGATGATCATGGTGATGATGACGATGATGATGGCTTGCTGGCGGTGGTACTACTGTTGATATTGGCACGGCTGTTGTTGTTGTGATTGTTGTTGGACCCTAAACCCTAAACCCTAAACCCCAAACCCTTGTTGTTGCTGCTGCTGCTGCAACTTTGAATGTTCTTCAGTGACGGTGAGGGCTCACGAGCCTAGGTCCGAGCTGGGTACTGTTGATGGACAAAATCCTGCATGACCTTATATACCTAAACTATGGGATTTATGGTACTATACTATATTTGGGTCATGCAGAATTTTGTCCATCAACCGTAGGGTTTAGGGTAAAGCTCAAACAAAGCAACTGCTGAGTCAAAACTCGATCGGCATACCCAGAGACTGCACACCTTGCAATGAAGGAGTGTGCCTCAAACTACTAGGGAATTTGTACTACCATGTAAGAGAAACAAGATGTTTTGGAGTCCCTGGCTACATACCCTAAAACCCCTAAGAACCCTTGAATGATAAAACCCGAAACCCTAAACCCTTCTAGAACCCTTTCAAGGATCCAAGGGTCATATGGAAGGGTGAAGAATTACCCATACTATTCCTTAGACCTCCTCCCTAAAGTTATATGCCACAAAACAAACGATTCAACTTCTATGTACTGCGCCTGTATTACGTCACTGTAGTACCTTATTGTAAGCCTAATGGAACTCCGTTAGTGGAACCCTTTAGAGGAACCTTGGTCCAATGATTAAGGCCCTACTGTACTGAAGTCACAGAAACCACGCCATCAGGACGATCACCATGGTAAGGAGGTAGTGCTGCCACCTTTCACAACCAGTTTAGGGCTAGTGTTTAGTGTCAGGGTTTGAGATTCAGGGTTTTGGGTTTAGGGTGTAGGGTCTAGGATTCAGGGCAGGGTGAGCCCATGGGTAGGTAAGTAGGTAGGTAGGCAGGAAGGTAGACAGGTAGGTAAGCAGGGCATTGTCCTGGACAACTTGCACCGAGCCGTTTTACAGAGATGCAGCGACACAGCGCAAGCCGCAAAAGCCAAATCCCAGCACCCACCCCTAAACTTCTGAGTTTAGGGTTTAGGGTTTAGGGGGGTTTAGGGTTTAGGGTTTAAACCCCTAAGACCCAAATCCCAGAGGCACCTGCTCGGTCTTCGTGTCGCGCAGCGCTCACAGACGAAGACCAGCAAAACCAACAAAGCAGGTACCCAGAACACAGGCAAGGCCAGGACCGTGCCTAGTCTGATAGCGTTTTTGGGTTTTTTGGTTTAGGTTTTACGGTTTAGGGTTTAGGGTTTAGAGCTTCGGGTTCAGGATTTAGGGCATATCGTGTTAGGAGTTTACGATTTAGGGCTTAGGGATGTTTAAGGTAATCTCATGATCTGGCACAAGGTGCCCCTTAATTGTTTGGGATTCCCTAATACGGCTGATGGACAAAATCCTGCATGACCCAAGTATCGTATAGTACCATAACTCCCATAGTTTAGGTATATAAGGTCATGCAGGATTTTGTCCATCAGCCGTATGACCGGCAAAACTGGACCCTAATCCCTGCCAGAACACGGCTGTGCAAAAACAACTTTGGAGCTCCTATGCTGCCCAAGTGCTCTAGTTGCTTAAATAATAAGGGTTTGGGGTTTAGGGTTTAGGGTTTAGCGTTTAGCGTTTAGGGTTTAGGTTACTACTACTAACCATATGTGATGTACCTTTGTAGCCTATTATTTAGGGAGCTGGAGCCCTAGGCGGCGCCTTTGCTATTCCGGCCCTTTGGTTCGTTATGGGACTCGGGGATCGCTCCGATTCAGAGTTGGAGACTCTACCAAGACCCCCCAAGGGCCCCTTAATGGAGCTCTTACGGCCCTTAATAGCGAGTAATTTAGGGTATATTGGGGGGTAGTTGGGGGGGGGTCCTATAGGTATACCTATAGTCTCCATTGTTGTTCCTTTTTTTGGTTTAACCAATTATATATAAGTATTAAGGACTTTATAAGGTATCCCCAAAAATGAAAACTACAATGCAAACCACTCTATAAGGTTGACGCTTAGCTGGCTAATATGCCTTTGGTGTGTTCCTTCCTTCTCCTCTGAAAGGTAGAAACCTAGGAAGGGTACGGTCCAGGTTTCAGAATACCACAGAGCACTTCTCAGACATGCCGGGATGCTCAAGCTGTATGCGAGGATATTCTGCGCAGGCACACCCTCGTTCGTCAGCAAGGCAAGCAGCCCCTCTAGGCAAAGACTGATGAGCGGCGTGGCCAAAACGCAGATATAGCCGAAGGGGATGCTGCCGGGGGTGCGCAGAGGACCAAGGACGTCCTCACGGAACGGGCCGCGCACATACTCGGAGAAGGCGTCTAAGCTGCCATACCAACTCACAATGGCTGCATGGATCCGTACTCTGTCAGAGTCAACGAGGCACTCCACATTTCTCACATCGAAAGTGTCCAGGCTGGAAATCAGGATCTTTTTCGAAAGGTAGCTGTGCCGCAATGAGTGTATCAAGGGAATTGCAAGGCAACCCATGACCAGCAGTGCGAAGAGCACGAAGCCAGACAGTTCCATGCGACCCGATCCAACGAGCCTGGAATACCAAAACCCAGATGTCAAAGCCTCCAGCCAAAGGAAAATCTGAAGGGTGATGCGTTCGATGAACCTGGTGTCTTTGAAGCATCCCAGGCACAAGAAGCATGTTAAAAAGCCTGCCGGAAGACTAGAGGCTCGAGAAACATGGAAAGGATGCGATTCAGGAGCCAAGGAGCAGAGGTGAGAGGGTAATCTTCCCGGTGGGGTTCACTTTGCGGTAGGCTGCCAATTCGAAGACACACCACAGCCTCTTAGGGTCCCAGGCCGGTTTAGGGTTTAGGGTTTAGGGTTTCGGGTTTAGGGTTTAGGGTTTAGGGTTTGCATGTATTCTCTGTAACTCCGTGCAGTTGAAGGACTGTGGTGTTCCTATGCTTGTGCATAGTTCGAACAATTGTTGTGATCCCGTACTTGGAGGGTATACAACTACTAGCAAGGCCTACAAACTTTAAAGTCTGTTCCTTATTACTAAAAAAATAGGGTGTTGGCCTTTCGGAACACCTTTCCAGGACCGTCCCTGTGCCCTCAAACAGTGGTATGGCTCCCAATAACCGACATTAGAAGCATGGTGGAAGGTGGATGGAGCGTCTAATGTAGGAATCTGATTCAGAAACCCTGGGCCTTGCTTTGGGTTCCTGGTATGAACCCTACTACATTGGGGTTATAGGGCCAGGGTTTCTTAAATCAGGTTCCTACATTAGGTAGCCATAGACCCTCAATCCTAAACCCTCAACCCGAAACCCTAAACCTTTTGTTGGCGGCCTTGTCTTGCTGTAGGATTCAAACCTTGCAGTAGGCGATCCGTCTTTGCAACTGTTCTCGAAATCAGCGTCTAGGCACAACGTGAACCATCAAATCCATCTGGTCTGAGTATCACTGGAAGTCTTCAGTACTCGTCGGGTTATAACCGCAAAATCTTGAAAACATCTAGTCTAAGCGTAGCACAGAAAACCCTAGAGGCCTCAACAACAACTACGTATGTAAACTCTAAACACCCAAAAAACCCCAATATTTATATTGTGAAGCCTACTTATCTGTTGGTTGATTTATCCACAAACCCTCAGAAGAGAAGGCCCCGTCCCTAAGGGTCCAAGTACCTAACAATCATATACTCTTCTGAATACTATCCTACAAAACTACTATCCGTAACCCAAGTACATGATTATTAGGTCCTTTGGACCCTTAGGGTGTAGGCCTCGACAGGTAGGTGGAGCTCCACAGTACGCGAAGCTCCTTTGATGCAGCGAGAAATCCTCCGATGTTGTTGATGCCTGACGGATGGATACTGTTGATGGACAAAATCCTGCATGACCTTATATACCTAAACTATGGGATTTATGGTACTATACTATATTTGGGTCATGCAGGATTTTGTCCATCAACAGTATTAGGGTGGAAAAGGTCTCGGGTTAGAGGTTTGGGTTTAGGCCCGTTTAGGCTTTAGGGTTTAGAGTTTCCAGTACATATGAAGTGAGGTGTGGGTTGAAGGTCCCTGCAGTAGTTAATTTAAGATTAAAGGCACCCGAAGGATTGGGTTTCGGGTTTACTCAACGGAGTTCGTGTTAAGGATCCAGCAGTTTAGATGGAACGCTTCTGAGCGGTTTCGGAGCTTTTGTCAACAGTCATAGGTTATCAGGCTATGACCCACATGGCCTTGCTGCATTAGGACCTGGTCAACTTGATGTACGCAGGTGCAGTCGACGAAGGCCATATCTGACCTGCCGAAGATTGCCCAAGTCTATATTTCATCAGGAGGTTGAGTGCCACTCCTCCTATAGTATGCATGCATGCATGGATGTATGTACGTGTGTATATATATATATGCATATGTGCATGCGTGTGCCTGTATGTGCATGTAGAAATATGTGCACGTACGTATGCATGTATGTCTGCATTGCTGTATGCATGGATGGATGGACGGATGGATGTATGGGTGCATATGTATGCATGCGCGATGTGCATATCATACATACATAAATACTTACACACATACACACAGACACACATACATACATACATACATACATACATACATACATACATACATACATACATACAGAAATACAGACATACAGACATACAGACATACATACGTACATACATACATACATACATACATACATACATACATACATACATACATACATACATACATACATACACATACACATACACATACAAATATACATATATATATATATACACATACATATACATATACATATACATATACATCTACATATACATATACATACACATACACATACACATATGCATATGCATATACATATACACATACATACATACATACATACATACATACATACATACATACATACATACCTGCCTACCTACATACACACATACGTACGTATGTACATACGTACGTACATGC